TCCTTCCTTCCTTCCTTCCTTCCTTCCTTCCTTCCTTCCTTCCTCCCTCCCTCCCTTTCTACCTTCCTTCCTTCCCCCCACATCTGCTGTCTATTCCACCCCATGTCTCTCTGAAGAAGGGCAGTTCCCCAAAACCTATGCAATTCACTACGGCTTCTTAGTTAAAAAGGAGCGGCCACAGTCCTCCTGAAGAGGTTGGTAGCAATCTTCACTTAAACAGTGCACAATCCTGCCACGAACCAGAGCCGCTGCTCCCCAAAGGATGGCAAAGGACCCCAAGGAGACCCCACAATTCAGTTGTTTGGGACTGGCAAGCTGGGAATCGGGGTGTTAATTGGATCGGGAGCCCCCGATCAACCAGAGCTAATTAAAGGACTAATTAACGCAGCGCTTCTCAGTCCTCTGCAAGTTTTGAGGTGGGTGGACTTCTATGCTATGCTGGCTGGGCAATTCTGGGAGTTGAAGTCCACCCATCTTAACAGAGTTAAAGTTGAGGAACGCGGAATTTGGAAAAAAGCCTTTTACAGGCTGGCAGCTCGGGGAAGAATCCAACTTTCCCCCTTTTCTGGCAACTTTGGGTGCAGCCAGCTTTTCGCCTGAATCTCAGGGGGGCGCCTGGCTCCTTGGCTACCCTTTGCCAAGGGGTCCCCCCTCCCCTCCAGCCACCCTGGGGGACTGTAGCCATTTTAGTGTCCTGCCTCCCTTTCTGCCTCGGGCCCCACCTGCAAAAATGCCCCTTCTTCCCAGGAGTTTAATATCTCAATGGTCGGGGGGTCGTGTGTTGAGGATTCCCCCACTCCCTCTCCCTGTTTTCCCCCTCTGCTCTTTGTTAAGTTGGGGTGGGGGGAGAAGAGAGAGAGAGAGAGAACACCCCCCACACACACACACCCCGATGATCAATTTTTCCTCCAGCTAATCCCATCAAGGCAGCGCATGGGCTGTGTAATAAGCATTTACGATCCCGTTTAAAGCTTTCCGCCCTTGAGCCAATACCCCGTGTTTTTTTTTTAAATTAAAAAAAAAATCAAGAAGAAGAGGTGGGGGGAGGAAAACACACACACACACACACACACACACACACACAAACACACACCCCTCAGTGGCACCCAGCTCTTTGCAGTGAATTTATGGGACGAGGCAGCGTGCCAAGGTTTCTTTTAGACGGAGCGGAGTTTACATTAGTGGTAATTAAACTGAGGGGAGCAAGGAGTCAGAGGAAAAACCCATGTGCGTCTCCCTGTGTGTGTGTGTCTGTGTGTGTGTGTGTCTGTGTGTGTTTGTGCATGTAGGAGCGCGGCATGCCTGGAACAGCTTTCCCTCTTTTCTTTGTGTGTTTTTTTTTTTGCGGGATGCACTTGTGCGTGTCGGTGCACAACGCTTTGCCGCAGTTCTTTACGGTTCTTGGAAGGGCGAAGGCAGGGTGTGAAAAATACGGAGCCGGCTTGTAAAGGTTTTAAAAGACAGCATCGGTTTGACCTGGGGCAAACACACAAGTCAATGCTGGCGGGGCGCTTTTCTTGCACAGTTCAGTTCTTTGTGCGTTAAAAGAAAGAAAGGAGGAGAGTGAGTGGAAAACCAAGGGGGGGGGCAGTCCTTTTAAGTTGAATGCCTGCATAGGGCAACACACAGTATATATGCAAAAGCTTCTGCTTTTAGTTGTTATTCCTCCTCCTCCTCTTCCTCCTCCTCCTCCTCCTCCTCTGCAAACCCACCTTCCTCCACTGATATGATGTTATCTAGTTTGATGGTGAAACATTTGCAAGAAAATAACCAAGCTCAAGAGAGAATCAAGGACCTCACAGTCCTTCTCCTACT